TAATTCTTCCAGAATCAAACTCGTTAAGCGAAACACTCGTTATGCGAAACAATTTTTCTCATATAAATTAATGTAAAATACGATAATGCGTTCCATGTCAAAAAAGATACTCCCAAAATGCTATGTGTAACGTTTTTTCAAAGAAAATTATATACATATTGTTAAGGAGAGTGGATCATCTTCATCTTTTCTTCAAACGCGTAACGAACCCACCTGGAATGTAAATTCGATTTGCAGAAAAAAAAAAAGTCGAAATAATTATCATACATAGCTAATTATTATTAATTTTTTTTTACTAGAAAGATGTCCAGAAATTTGTTTTTGCCGACGCTTCAAAATTTTGCGAAAATGCGACACAGCATTATCATTAAATAAATTTGCAACGCGCATAGCCACTTCCTTATTAGGGTGATGCTTCTCAGTGTAAGATGCAACAGTTTGCCATGCTTTCAGCATTTCTCTTATTTCGCCAGAAAATTGTTGCTTTTCTGTTACCTCCTCCTCCTCTAACAAACTTTCCTCCAAAATGCAGCTCTAGGCTGTGCTCTTCCACAAGCTCTTTGATATCACTGTTATCCACCAACAATCCCATGATAGTGGCCAAAGACACAATCTCGTTGACTAAAGGTTTCACAGGTACTGTCTCAAAACCCTCAAAGTCACTACTAGACAACACTCTCCGGCCAAAGCTTCTTCCAAGCAGAAGTTAGGGTTCTCTTGGTAACCCCTTCTCCCGCCTTGTTGATCATCTTGAGGCAAGCAACGATGTGGGAGTGATTTTTTCTCCAAAACACTTTGAGAGTGAGATTGGTCCTTTCAGTCACCTGAAAACAATGCTCGAAGAGTGCTTTAGTGTAGAGCTTCTTACAGTTATAAATAGCTTGCTGGTCCATGGGCTGGAGTAACGGAGTGGTGTTAGGAGGCAGAAACTGGATCTTGATGAACTTAAATTCTTAACAGAGGTCATCTTGTATACCTGAAGGATTCATGTACATAAATAACAATATAACACAAGTTTGAGAAAATGTGTGATCACAATCGACACTGCAATGCTACTGGAACGAGTGCTAAACACAGACTTATGTAACATTCGCACAATTCGGGACTTTCCCTCTCCTTGCCACTCATTATGCAAAACGTCGCTCGTTATGCAAGTCATTTTTTTTAAATTTGTTTTGCTCGTTATGCGAATTACTCGTTATGCGAGGTGCTCGTTAAGCGAGGTTCTACTGTATGTCACATAGAGCTTGCCGTGTATCCCTTCATTCCACTTTATTCTGTGCAATCAGTTTAATAAAATGGATGGAGCTTTGGCCTCTCTCATCTATCTGCATTCATTTTAAGGTTTCTTTTGGGCATCCTCACCCACTCAAAGCTTCTACTTCCCATTTAAATGTCTGTTTGGAGTTTCTTTTCTGGTTTCTTCTCAGGATGTGCTTAATATAGCGCCATCTTCTGTGTCCTATAATTGTTGAAACTAGTGGTTGCCCAGATATTTCTCTTATTTCTTCAGTCTTTTTTAATTCATTCGATTTTACTTTCACCATTTTCTCTAGGCATTAGCGGTTGAATGCAAATTCCTTTCATTCCATGGCTATAGTGCTTCCCCAACTTTTATTCACATACATTTAAATAAAAAAAATAAAAATATTAGAACTGAAAATACGTAATTTGGTTTTTAAAATATACTATTTAGAGTTCCGTAATTTGTTCAGGCTATTAAAAGCTGCTGATGATTTGCTAATGAGTGTCATAATGTTTTTCTTTGTATCTCCTTCATTATCAAAATTACTACTTAAATAAGTAAATTGATCTGTTACTTTAATTACTTTTCAAAATTATTTTTCAATTACTTAAAATACACATAATCATTTTAAATTAAGCATAGATATAAGAATGCCTTCTGATGCTATACCATATAAGGCATATACAAAAAGGGGAAAAGGACCTAGAGCAAAAGGTAGACCAAAAACAAGACGGGAAGATAACATCACAGAAACTCTACAGCACTATGATGTATCTATGGGCGAAGCAGCCAGAAGAGCACAAAGCAGGATCTTATATATCCCTCGACACCTGAAGCGGCAAGGGAGGGCGTAAAGAAGAAGAAGAAGATAAATATTAAGTCATTATCTTAATGAAACCACAGCCCATTCTAAAACTGATAACACTGTTAAATGCTGAAAGTACCTAATTGGTGAAAAAGGTATAGAAATATTAGAAATAATACTCTGCAGCATTGTTTACATTGAATTGAAACTTGAAAAATGCTGATTACAGCAACTAACAAATTAAAAATGCTTAAAGAATTTTTATCTAAATCACATGTAACCCTCATTGCAAACTTGATTAATTTCAAAAAGCTCTGGGCTCATTATTTCAGTGGGCTAGAAGGCATGTTTGAAAAGGAGTGAGCAGATAGATTGGCTGGACTGGCCCCATTTGGGGGTGTACTGCAACGGCACAAGGTATAGGTGACCTCTTTTCTTCTTCTTTTTCCTCTTCTTTTTCCTCTTCTTTTTCCTCTTCTTCTTCTTCCTCTTCTTCTTCTTCTTCTTTTTCTTCTTCTTCTTCTTTTTCTTCTTCTTCTGCATCTTCTTCTTCACCCTTAAAAAGGTGGCTAGGTGTTGTTGCTTTTTATGATTTACAGTGAGCCTGCAATATCTTAGCCTTCTGGCCCCACACTTCCAATTTCAGCAAAATTTGAATCAGTTACCTTTTATATCTTTGTTAGGGGGCAGCCGAAGAACACCGTTCTTCTCTTCCCATAAAATGGAATCCCAGAACCCACAGGGAGAGGTCCATTATTGCCCTTTTAACTAGTTGTTCTGTAAAAGCTTAACTTTCTCTTCCTTGACTTAGACGGTGGATATTAAAAGAGAACAACAGTTCAGAAATCAGTTGTGTGGCAGAGAAATAAGATATAGGAATCAAATCCTTTTTTAGGTAAAAAGAGCATTGAAAAACTAAGACGGCTGGAGGATGCAGCAAGAATGGGTCAGACCAATGTGCTAGAAAGTCTATGAGTGCAGCAAGAATGGGTCAGACCAATGTGCTAGAAAGTCTATGAGTGCAGCAAGAATGGGTCAGACCAATGTGCTAGAAAGTCTATGAGTGCAGCAAGAATGGGTCAGACCAATGTGCTAGAAAGTCTATGAGTGCAGCAAGAATGGGTCAGACCAATGTGCTAGAAAGTCTATGAGTGCAGCAAGAATGGGTCAGACCAATGTGCTAGAAAGTCTATGAGTGCAGCAAGAATGGGTCAGACCAATGTGCTAGAAAGTCTATGAGTGCAGCAAGAATGGGTCAGACCAATGTGCTAGAAAGTCTATGAGTGCAGCAAGAATGGGTCAGACCAATGTGCTAGAAAGTCTATGAGTGCAGCAAGAATGGGTCAGACCAATGTGCTAGAAAGTCTATGAGTGCAGCAAGAATGGGTCAGACCAATGTGCTAGAAAGTATATGAGTGCAGCAAGAATGGGTCAGACCAATGTGCTAGAAAGTCTATGAGTGCAGCAAGAATGGGTCAGATCAATGTGCTAGAAAGTGTATGAGTGCAGCATGAATGGGTCAGACCAATGTGCTAGAAAGTCTATGAGTGCAGCAAGAATGGGACAGACCAATGTACTAGAAAGTCTATGAGTGCAGCAAGAATGGGTCAGACAAATGTGCTAGAAAGTCTATGAGTGCAGCATGAATGGGTCAGACCAATGTGCTAGAAAGTTTATGAGTGCAGCAAGAATGGGTCAGACCAATGTGCTAGAAAGTCTATGATTGCAGCAAGAATGGGTCAGACCAATGTGCTAGAAAGTCTATGAGTGCAGCAAGAATGGGTCAGACCAATGTGCTAGAAAATCTATGTGTACAGCAAGTAACAAGAGACCAAGACAGTTGTTACTTTAAAGTTATATTTTGTGGAGATAGTAAGAGTAAACTATATAATGTGTGGTTTCCTGCTTCAGTTTCTACAGCCTCAGAGGCCTGTGAAGTAATGTCTAGCAATTCAATACTAGAACTAAAATGCATACACACAAGGTTAAGGAATGGCTATGACACCTTTAATGAAATTTCATCTAAAGATAAAATCGACAAGGAGAATCAAATATTATACTAAAGGCATAATAAACCCACTGTTGTAATGATACAATGTTAGTGAGATTATCTACAGATTTATTGTACAATTTCTATCTTAATCACAGTCCAGAAAGGTGTAAACAAAGCAGTACTTGAAACAATAATACAAACTGCATAACTGTCCTAAAAAAAATAATTAAACAATAAATAAAATAACAAATATATACTCTGAAAACTCAATGAACACTTTTTATCCTGATTATAAGCTGAGGGTTGAACAGGATATTTTTGTGAAAATTACTAATATTCAAGTTCCTACAGGACACCTAAACATACATGCAGAAAACAATTAGACACAAATAAAAAGAGTAAGATTGTAAGATGCAGGAGACAGAAAAATTAGCAGATAAAAATGGAAAAGAAGAAAAAGAAGAGGATTGGAGGGGAGGATCATGATGATGATCAGGAAGAAGAAGAAGAAAAAGAAGAAGAAGAAGAAGAAGAAGAAGAAGAAGAAGAAGAAGAAGAAGAAGAAGAAGAAGAAGAAGAAGAAGAAGAAGAAGAAGAAGAAGAAGAAGAAGAAGAAGAAGAAGAAGAAGAAAAAGAAGAAGAAGAAATCTTTGAAAAAATTATCATGAAGGAAAAGGAGCACGTAAACTCTGGTGGAAAGTTCTGTTTGTCCACTAATCCTGGACTTTGGTCATCATCCAAGCTTGAGTTTTGTATACATTTTACAGATCTAGCTTATTTATATGTATGCAGTCTGTTGGTTCCCTGCCTCCCAAGCAGATGCATTCCGACTATAAAGGAAACACCTTGTACGAAACGCTGTTTAGTGGGGGAGGGGTGGGGGGGGGGCTATGCTTTGAAGCGAAGGTAATATGTTTGTGATTTTTTTCATAACTGTAAAAAAGCATTTGTCGTACCTCATAAATTTCTGGCAGTTTGTTGACACTTATATATTTCCTCAGCTCTGGACTGATCCCACGAAGTGATGCTGCCATTATTTGTAAGGTTCCAACAACAGTTACTAATACTTTTCTACGTCAACTTTTGTGTTTGTTCTCGCATCGCTGCACACTGTCACTCACTCTCTCCACCATCTTGTTGATAGCAACAATATCCAAGGAAGTTACCTCCCTTCCCCCTTGTTTTAATTTTAAATGAATGCCTGGGTTTTCCTTCCAGTTTTCAGTACTTTTTTGGCAGAGTAATACACTCAAAATTGTATAACTTTATATGGTGGTCCAAAAGAAGTTATGTTGAGAAGCTCGATTCCCTAGAAAATACGCCTGGCAAAATCAGAGGGAGCTGAAACTAAAGAGGAAACACCAGGAAGGAAAAGGCAAGAAGAACACAGTTAACAACAGGATAGGGAACGAGCGGTCTGACTCGAAGCAGGGAAGCATTAAGCCCAGTTGCAGAACCAACCCCAACAACCTTTGGCTGTTGTGTGGTTTTTCTAGGCAAATGTACGTCCAGTAGTTTGCCATTGCTTTCTGGACTATTAAGCCCAGAGACGGCACAAATACTAGTACTTTGTCACGAAAAAACGCTAATAAACCAGACCACAAATATAGACGGAGACTGTTAGCAGCCTCGGCTAGCTAGCAGCAGTCTGAAAGTGGTCAAACTTTAAATGTTCTTCTTAAAAGAAATCTAAATTTGCTAGAAAGTAACATCATCAGCATGTGCCGTATGTCAGCTCAATCAGGCAATCACTCATATACCGTCTCCACAATAAAGATTGTAATAGATCTGTAACATGCTCTGTATTTCGTCCCGCTTTTATCGCTGTCTGCCTCTTGCTGGCTTACCTTAAATTTTTTCTCCATTATACTTTGATAATATATTATGTCTAGTAGTATGGACGATAAGTTTAACTTGTCTCTTTTTATTTCCGCCGGTAGCTTTATTTTCATCCCTGGTTTCTTCTGAAGCTTTGTATTTGATTTTTTTTAGCTTCTAAGAAATACGGCATTTTTTTTTTTTTTATGTATATCTATATCTCAATACGATTTTCTAATTGCATGTTGATTATCTACGTATCTGCGACATATAGGCGTGTTGAGTATACATGACATTTTACAGTTTTCATTTTTAATGTGTAGCAGGCGCACCGCCACAAAACAAAATTTGGGAAACCGCGCATCCCCCCTTCCGTACTTGTTGTCCAGGCAAAATATCATGGGGCGCTTAGCACCCCCCCCTCCCCCCCCCCCCCCCCCAACCAACTAGTCCTTCTACGACCTAGGTCCGTCCTCTTCACCACCTAGGCACGTCTTTTTTCACCACTTAGGCACGACCTTTTCACCACCTAGGCACGTCCTCTTCACCACCTAGGCACGTCTTTTTTCACCACTTAGGCACGACCTTTTCACCACCTAGGCAGGTGCTTTTCATCCCCTGTGTCCCTCTAAAAAAAACGGGTTCGAGGTACAAGAGCCCACAGGTTCCGGTGCCTCTGCTAATCACTTGGCCGAATAATTTTCTGGGTAAAACTACGTACTTTCTAGTCTAACAGATGCACGATTCTTCAGTTTTACTATCTCCATAAAGAATAAGATACAAACAGCCTTCTTGCTCACACACATTGCAGAGTCATTCATGGTGGACACACACGAATGAAAAACTTCATGCAAATTGCTCTATCACGATCACGCCAGTCTTCACCACCCCCCCCCCCCCCCCCCACCCCCGAGGGCTATAACACAGCACATCAAAGTAAACTTTAGAAGGAGACAATCATCACTGTGAGAAGATTCTTCATATGTCGTTCAGAGGCGTCAGCACCTGAACCGAGATATGTTGCCGCAGATCGCAGGTTGTGGAGAGACAAGATCTTCTACGTCAGTCGCTACTTGATGATGATCTCTTTAGATGTCAGCAGTTTTCACCTAATGTTGAATTTTTTTTTCATTCCTGTTCTCTTTTTGACTTCTTTCGCTTCTGCCATCATTGTTATTGCATTTCCAAAATTTGAGAAATTCTAACGTGTTTTAATTTCTCTCCGTTTACTGTGATGTTCACTGTTAGCTGTTCCTTTTTTCATTGTCAATTGCCATGGCCTTTTAGGAATAATACATAATCCATGCCCTGCACTTTGCCTGCTTGCTTGATCCACTAGGTCTTGTAACCACCTGCTGCCTTTCTGCCAATAACACTTATCGTCGGCAGATCTTAAAACAGGCAGGTTAAACTGGCGGCCCATAAGCTGCCCTTTGTAAGCATACATGAGGCCTGCACAAATGAAATATTCTGCAATAATTTTTATTACATGACTCCAGTTAGTCGTGTGTGGCCCAAATTCGGACAACATTTGACCTGTATGACTCTAAGGGGATCTTCAGTTTGACATGCCTGTCTTCGATTATTTATACTTCCGTTGATATTTAGCCAGTGCAATTTCCAATTTGTTTAAAAACACTGTATAAAAGCTGAAAGATTTAGACTCGGCACATAATACTTTATTTACATGGCCACAATAGGATTCGACCCAGAGATCCCCACATGACAATAGAGCCTCATCGAAAGACCAAGCTCACAATGGCTGGAACTTAAGACAGCTCCACAATGTTATTTGCTTACTTGAATTAGAATAATGGCTGAATAATTACGCCCTGAAATATGTAAATGATAAAATGCTTGAAGAATCATGGAGGGTGCCTATTTCTAAACAAAAATAGTAGTCTCCCGTTGTGCACTCTCCTTGTTAGTCTCCCACCCTGTCTCAGTGCAGCATGTTTCATTGACTTAAAGGGAGTAATGTATATCTTTTCATCGTAATCTTAGTCTGCCCCGTGGTCTACTTACATTCCTGTCATCAGTGTATACAATGTTTGTCTTTCTGATATTCCCCTATTATTTCTGTATGTCCTATCCATTGCATTATATTGGGCTCTCATGATTCTTCTTCGACTTCTTCAGCATTCTGGGCACTAGAAGTTCATTGCTGCAGATATCACCCTCCTCCATTCCTCTTAATGGTTGGCCCTCTCTTTCCAGCTGGTGACATCAAGTGTTTGTAGATCTGCTTGGATATTATCCTTCCACCGTCTTCTTGGTCTGCGACGATTCAACTTCCCTGTGTAACAGTTTTAACTTCTCCTCCATCTTGCATTCTCTAAGTATACCCCAGCCATTTCAGTCTATTACTCTCATGATGCCAGTGATCAATGGCGATGTAAATATATCATAAATTTTGTTGGTTGTTGCATCTCACTCTCCATTTCCCAGCTGTTTGCATCTTGGTTGGGTCCGGAGATTCATTGTAAGACTGTTTTCCTGCTCCCTTTAATTTTATATGAGTTTTCACCATTTCTTTTTCCTTTTCTCCTATATCTATGTCATAAGTGTTCTTGTTTCTGCTATAGCACAAAATTGTTTTATCTTCCTTGTATAAGGTGTATATATTTTTTATAGAGCCATGTAAAAAAAAACGGCAACAAGGCATGACTTGTTTAAGGTCAGTTATTATTTGAAAAGGGTCTGATTTCTGTCTTTATATGTTACTGTATTATATGCTACCATGCAAATAAACTTCTATGCAAATCCAGATTCCTTTATTGAATTATTATATACACTGGCTTTTTTTCCCCTCACAAAAATGATATACACATTTCTTCTATATTTTAATTTTTCCTTTTTATTTGTTGAAAATTAAATTTATGATCCGTTATTTATCTTGGGGGGGGGGGGGGGTGTGTCTGATAATCGTAACACCGAGAATTTGTAACTAATAATGGTATGGTATTCATCTATAAAAATTTTGAGACTTGAGATATCTGTTTCATTATCAACATACTTTACAAAAGGGGTGGGGTGAGCTATGACCCCCAGGCTTCAACCCCACCAGCCTGTAGGACCAAGGTGTCTCTTTTTGTCTGTTATTTATTCTTTGATCTGTCTGGCATGGGAGACCCCACTGGTGGCCAGATATCTTTGCTAACTAAGGTGATAAATATTTCTTAAGAGCCAATTATGTGAAACATCAAAATTGGAACTCTGCACTTGCTGCTGAGGATTAGGAGACAGTGCATATGGAAATGTCCTGAGTGCCATGATGTCAATTCTGAACTCATAACATGTGGAATGCTAGATATGGTTTTACAGGTGACATTTGACAGATAAAACTGCAACGAAGATGTCTTGAAATAAATTTAAACTTAGTGCACAGGTCGATCCTCTTATCTTTATATACCCCTTTTCCCCATAAGATATTCAACAAAAAACATGAGATAATTATCACAACAATGCTACATTTAAGAAAATAAAACAGTTAAAACAAGACAAAATATATTTATGAAGGAGCAAAACGTTTTTATTCAAATACACATTGATAAACTAGAACTGGAAACTTCTTACAACTAACAGAAACAAAACAGTGTAAAGCACTGTTGACTACAACTAGTTATTAAATGCTGCCAGTATACTCTGTATTATTTCCATAGCATATTTGAAAATCTTATTTTCTGAGGATTGCCTCTTGCGCTCTCATTTAGCAGTATCTAAATTATTTGGGGCCGCCTTGATACTTGACCAACGTCTTTCATTTGCTTGAAATAGATTATCTAAATCTGCAATGTCATCTCTAGTATAAAATCATTATCCTTTTTAATTCACTCAGCAAGCCATACATTTTATTATCCACTGATGTTTCTCTTGGCCAGAAGTTCTGTCTTGATATGCTATGTTAGTTTTGGAGGGGGGGGGGGGGGGGGGGGGGGGTTTGATCTGTTGTCTTAGGTGCCAATCCACATGCACAGATGGCTGCTTTGCCTGTCTTAAATTTTGTGTACATGTGGCTGTGAAGTCAACTGTGCCCTGTTCTAAGGTGTAGAATAATGACTTGACCAACTAACTGTCTTATTTGTATGTGCTTAACTTCTTTCTGATATCATTATTTCTAATCTTGATACACTTAACTACTTCTGCCTCCCCCCCCCCCCTTCCCAAACACATGTGTAGTTGGCTATCCTTTATGTAAACCAGTCAGTGTGTTGCC